AAGTTTTTTTAAAAAAAATCAGGCTACAGAAAAAATAAATAAAAATTTATTGAAATTAAAGTTCCGGCGCTGGTCTATCGAATTCATGGTCAAAAAAAAAAAAAAAAAAAAAAAATTGCTCGCACTCAATTTAATTTTTATTTTATTATTATTTCTTTAGAATTTGGATTCCTGGAATGAAGTCAAGTCAGAAATTGACCAAATACCAGAGTCGGTTTAAAAGAAAAACTATCAATCATAATTCCCTCTACTATAAATAATATTAAAAAATAAACGTAATAGCATCATCATCAACATCATCATCATTACTTTTATTTCTTTCTCACTCATAACTAAATATATACATATATATATATATATAGTAATAATAACAAACCTTTTTTTGTATCAACAGCTTATTTATTCATACAATAAAAAACTTATTTTTTTAAAATAATAATGTAAAATAATGATGTATCTATTTGGAAAAGAAAGGATAAGGAATCACTACTAAACAACATATATATACATATATGTTAGGTTTATAATTTTATTTTTATTTTCACACCATTGTCGCGATATATAATGTACCCCAGAACACTAGCATATTCATATATTTAATAAACAAATACCTTTTTATAAAGAAATAAAAATAAAAATAGTAATCTTTTGTATATGAAGTAAAAAATAATAAAAAATAATTTTAGTATAAAAAGTGAATCTTATACTCCAAAAGAAAACAAAAAATGGGGTTACACGGTATGGTTTTTGCAAAACAAAAAAAAAACACTAAGATGAATATCTAAAAATAGATGATTATTCAAAAACATAAAAAACGAAATGACTTTGTTATTTTTAAATAAATAAAATACTATAGAATTGTTCAAAATACATCGAGTTAATTCTTCAAATGGTGTATTTTTTTTTAAAAATAGTACTACGTGTATAAAATGTGTAAGACAAAATAATTTCTATAATATTAAAAAAATTGGATAATTTATAGCATATTGTATAATAGTTGAAATACAAAGGCTCATCACAATTAAATTAAATTTAAATATTATATAAACGGTGTATAATAGTTTATTCATAATTTTAGAGATGACTATTGAGATAATATAATTTTGAAATATAGTGTCATATATAAAAATTATGTAATATAGTTGTATAATATTTAAATATTGTATTAAAGCTTATAATTATATAATAATTTAAATTTAAAGATATATTTAAAACAATTTTATTTAAAATGCTAAAAAAATATGTATTTGTTGTATTTACCATAAAATAATAATATTAAATGACTTCATAATCATAATACACTTATAGCCCACATGAAATAGTTGATATTTATTATAAAATCACTACTGTGTACCTGATGTGAAATGGACTATTTCTATTAGCTTATTCTATGTAATAACTTTAAATCTTCTAATACTGTAGATCCATTACCATATACACACTTTAAACTTCATTCTAATTCGCGTTGTCTTTACTGGATAACACTGTAATTCTATTTCCATACTATATAATATATAAATTAAGCCTATAGTCACTAATCCACTAAAAATTATAAATATATCACTTATTTTAAACATTCGAATAAGGTTAACCAAAAGTTTCACAATATTTTCTTTGTTTTTCTTAACTTTTATAATTTTAATTTGATAAATTCAAAGTATTCAGTACCTAATTTTCAAGTCTATTTGTCGAATTTTTGTCGTTTATAATTTTAATTTGATGATTTGAAAAAAAAAGACCTATGCAGATACAGCCCCATTGGCTTAGTGGTTAAAGCATTGTGCTTATAGTATACAAACTATACAAGGTCACGCAAAGATCGCGGGTTCGACCCCCGCATGGGGCAACTTTTTGATTTTTTTTAGTGTTGTGGATTTATTTAGTTTGTTTAAAAAGTGGTGCTGTGTGTATTTTTGGTAAAAGTTATGTTGTGGATTCTTTTGGTTGTTTAGAAAGTGGAATTTCCTTTTATAGTTTTGGAAAATAGATAGTTTTATAGTTTAGTTTAGTTGTCAGTGAGCACCAGTATCTTGTTTTATAAATAGATACTACTTAGTTTAGATTAACAAAATAAATAAAATGTTGTGTGTGTTTTTGGTAAGAGTTATTTTTGTTAAAATAAATTAAGTGATTTTGTATTTATATTAAATATAAATAAGATAATTCCAGTGAGCACCAGTTCTTGTTTTATAAGTAGAACGACTTAATATAATGTAAAAGTAAAAAATTTAAAATAATAAAATAAAATATTTAAAAAAATTCAAAAGTGTATGCAAATGAATTTAAAAGTCAGAGTGGATTATTATATAAAAAGAGTAATAATCAAATAAAGTAATAATAAAAATAAAAAATATAAAAGTTTATATATGTTGTATATAAATAAAAAGAGATTTCACTTAAGAAATAAAATATGTTTGTTATAATAATAAAATGATTTCAATTAAGAAATTAATATAAAGTTAAAATAAAATAAAAATAAGAATTGATTTGGACAAATAAAATATTTATTATGTAAAATATTATTTAAAAATTTGACATAAGATATTTGACAAATGTATTTGACAAAGAAAAGAAAAAACAAAAGAGAAAGAAAAATATTCTATCCTTTTTATATTAAAACAAAAAATAATTTATATTTTTTTTTAGGGAGAGAAAGAGGAAAAAGGTTGTAGGAAAAAAGTTGTAGAACTTTGGTTGTAGGAATTAAGTTGTAGGAATTTGGTTGTAGAACTTTGGTTGTTGAACTTTGGTTGTAGAACTTTGGTTGTGAAAAATTTTAATTTAATCACCGCCAACTTCATCCGCTTGGACGACAAAAGTATAATATTATATTTTTAAATATTAACCCATAAATTTGCGCGTTGGTTTTATGCATAACATTTGGATTGCCTCTTGAAAATTTGCTTTAATCATGAATTATTAATAAACCGTTCATCCTTAACTAATCCAAATAATAATTAATTATTAATATTACAAAGGTCATATCAATTAATATATAGAATTATAAAATATAAACTTGTTTTAAAAAAAATATTAATATCTAATTATATTATGAATAATTTTTTATAATAAAGACATGTATCTTTGTATTTTTCGTAAAAATTATACTAATTCAAATTTATTAATAATATGTGATATAAATATATATATATAAGCATTTTTCATAAAAAGTATTTTCATCCACTGATTTTTTTAATGCAAGTTATTTAAATTGGAAAAAGCTAATCAGGTTGTTCAGTAAGTATATTCAAACAGTGATCAATCATATAATTTACTTTATACACAAGTGGAGCTACCCTATCTTTCCATTGTTCTTGATCTTTTAATAAGTTTATTTCGATTGGATCAATTTTCTGTTCATATTTCCATGTAATACTTGATTTAATATTGTTATTATTATTTATATCGTTTCCTTTACACCAAATAAATTCCCAGCTATATCCTGTTGTTACAATACCATATACGACGTGATCTTTTGGAGCACCAAGTTTAATATTTTTAATGTAAGCGTTATATAATTGCATAAGAAGTTGTGCTCTACCTTGATCCCAATCTTGTTTTTTAGCTTCAATAATAACTAAAATAAGTTTACCATGAACAATTACAAATTCAACAGGTCCTTTAACATCTTCGCCATCAATTTGTTCTTCTTTTTTAATTATTACATTTTTATCATAATATTCTGCAATAATATTATAAACAACAGTAGAAACAAATTCATGTCTTTTAGATTCATTTCCTTCATCCGCTACACCATAAGCTTTAGTCAATTTAATAAGAGCTTTAGATATATCTTCAATAACATCTTCATCGATCACTTTTGTTGGAATACTCTCTAAATTTGTAAATAATGTCATGCTACTAATTTCAAGAAAGTCTAAAACTTTTTCATATGATAATCCTGCATATCCTTTTTTGTTTTCTGATTTAAATATATCTACAGTTGTTTCTTCCACACGTCTTCTTTTTTTATCTTCTGACATTTTATAAATAAGAAAGATTCAATTTTCAGTAGAAAATAAAATAAAAAAAAAAGAGGTAAAAAATTGATATTTTTTTATGAAATTTAAACTCAGTATTTGTTATTGTTATCATGTGATCACATGATATTTTAATATATCATTTTCCTCTATTTCACTATCTTTTATTTAATCATTTAATTTCATTATCTTTTATTTAATCATCTAATTTCATTTATTTTATTATAAACGTTAATATTTTGAATTTTTCATATTTTTAGATAGATATTTAATGCAGTTTTGTGAAAATCTTTATTTATTTCACAACTTACTTATATATTCACCACTTCTTCACAGATAATAATAAGATGATTTCCAGTGAGCACCAGTTCTTGTTTTATAAGTAGAACGACTTAAAGTAAAGCAAAAGAAAAAAATTAAAATAAAATATTTAAAAATTCAAAAGTATATGCAAATGAATTTTAAAGTCAGAAGGTAGATTATTGTATAAAAAGAGTAATAATCTAATGAAGTAATATAATGAGAAAAAATAAAATATAAAAGAATATAAAATATCAGATAAAGTAATAGTATAATAAGAAAGGTTATATATGTTATAAAAATAAAATAAAAAAATGATTTCACTTAAGAAATAAAATATGTTTGTTATAGTAAAATAAAATAAAATGATTTCAAT